GAGTAGGAGCTTTGATAGAGAGAACTACCTGAGAAGGAGGAAAAGAGTAGGTTTCCATTTACAGAATGTCTTCTCTGTCACCTTCCCAGAACTAGCTCCCATGAGCAGCCAGATAACTGCAAGGACTTTGGGGATCGCAGAGTGACCCAGTAATCTTATACCTCCTTCAAGGGAAGTGCTCCCAGGCATTCTGTGGTTTGTAAACTCATGTTATATCACTTTCGAAAAAGTGCCATACCGATAAATATCACCTTTTTCTATTTAAAGCTTGCAACATTTATAGTGCCATTGCCGTAAATTGCCTTATTTTTCGTGATCATACAATTTCTACAGTATAAACAGTGTTTAAGTATCCATGTGTGTTAACTCACTCATAACTTCTGGATTATCCCTTTAAATTGTAGAAACATTTACTTTAGAAGTACAAACATATGCTTCATAGTTTTTCCCTAAACAGAAAGACTTCATTCACAATGGGTGTCACAGCATTATATTTTAATTTATATTAATTAATTCATTCAGTTTTAGAGGGTCAGTGCCCCTTTTTCAAATTATCCAAAACTTTGCTCTCTACAATCTCTAGTGAAAATGTTCGTAATCTAGTTTCATGCTGTTTGCACTGATGTTTGGATTATACTTCTTTAACAAGTCCTTAGCACTTTCATTTCAATCAGGTACTTGAATTGGATCACATGAATTAATTATTATACAAGATTTATACAGGAATGAATCTCTCCATACCACCAGGTACTTTGCCTTTATCAACAACCAGCAATGCAAAAAGGTCTGTGATATAGAACTGAAAACATATGGTACTCCTGTAGTGTTAGAGGCATGTTTTCAGGAACCAAGCTTAGTTTTTGTTGGCAACACTAATGCTCCAACTAGATAAAAGCTACATTATATAAAGATGAAGTATTAACTTAACATAGATATACCAGCTGATGGAATATATCTCATGACATGTCACAAATGTCTGAAAAGAAACAATCACATGGCTCATTACATTCCATGCTTCTGATTCATATTATGATATCTGTAAATGTCAAGACTTTGATAGATTGTTTTCTCGCTTGATACATAACCTCCATTCAGTTATCACTAGGAAAAGCCTCTAGCATCATTTACCTTTTGAGTCAGGCAGAAATCTTCTAGTGTTCATTATTTATTTTTTGTGGCATATCAGTGCTGGTGATCTCAGCACCTCTTTGCAGCCAATTCTTGTCTACATGCGTATACTCCAGCAATGGCAGCATGACTTTTCTCAATGTGGGATTCCTGATGGTTACAACAGCTGGCCATTCCTGAATAATATGCATCAAAATGGCAACTTGTAGTGCCTGTTGAAAGCCTGTGTAACAGGATGACAACTCATGACAACTTTTGGGAAACAGGGATAGAGCATTGCCATAGCATAACAGGATCTTTACAGCTTGATTAAAAAGTACTTTTTTAATTAAACCTACAGTTATTATAATGGCTTGTAAAATTATATTGTATGCCATTATTAAATATGTTAAATATTTATTTGTAAACCAAGACTATATATATATATATATATATATATATATATGTATATATACACTGTATATTACAGATGAGCGAAGTATTCAAAAATTCGATTCGACTGATTCGGCGACTTCGTGGAAAAATTTCGATTCGAGTCAAATATATTCGCTGCGAATTTAACTTATAAAAGGGTGTTTCTAGGCTTCAGAGAGCCTTTATATTAGTGCAGAACACTGTACCTTTAATTTAAATGCCCTTGGAGTCTGCTGGGGAAGAGAAATAATACTGACAGTCAGTATGACATGCAGATGAGTGCCGTCGATCTTAGAATCACCGCACACTTCACTCATTTGGGCAGTCACGGGGCCAAAACCAGAGTGTGGAGCCACAGTGTGGCGGTGGAGGCAGCAGCAATGGGAGGCCATACAGCACCCTATGACAAAAATGGAAACCACCAGCAGTGTGAGGAGACCTGAAAGTGGCACATGGCAGAGTGTGGCGATGGAGACAGCAGCAATGGGAGGCCGTACAGGGACCCATGACACACTCTGGACCTGGCAGCAGCATGAGGAGGCGGTACAGGGGCCCATGACAGATTACGGGCCTGGCAGCAGCATGAGGAGTCGGTACAGGGGCCCATGGCAGATTAGGGGCCTGGCAGCAGCTATGGGAGGCCTGTAATCTGCCAGCACCCTATGACAAAAAATGGAACCCACCAGCAGTGTGAGGAGACCTGAAAGTGGCACATGGCAGAGTGTGGCGATGGAGAAAGCAGCAATGGGAGGCCGTACAGGGACCCATGAGAGACTCTGGACCTGGCAGCAGCATGAGGAGGCGGTATAGGGGCCCATGGCAGATTAGGGGCCTGGCAGCAGCTATGGGAGGCCCGTAATCTGCCAGCACCCTATGACAAAAAATGGAACACACCAGCAGTGTGAGGAGACCTGAAAGTGGCACATGTTTGGGGCATGATTCATGGCGGATTTAGTCAGTTGTGTCAGGAACTGGTAGTTTGAAATCCAGACTAATCCACGCCTGATTCATTTTCACAAACGTGAGTCTCTCCACACTTTGGGTGGACAGTCGTGTCCTCCGCGGAGTTGCAATACCTACCTCCTGCCGCACTAAACACGCGCTCCGATGCCACGCTACTGGCCGGGCATGACAGCCTTTCAAGGGCAAATTCAGCTAGTTGGGCAAAGGTCAAGTTTCGTTGCCCAGTAGTCAAGGGGATTGTCTACCTCGGTTGGCAGGGTGCTGTCCAAGTAGGCCTAAGCCTGTTGTTTGAGGTCCTGCTCCAGGTCCACCTGATGCTGCTGCTGCTGCTGCGGCTGGTTAGTAGTTTCCTCACTGCGCTGGTGAAGAAAGCTACTCATCATCGACTGCAGACTGAGGCAGCTGCTGCTGCTGTGGTGGAGCTGCCACTGCTCCTACCACCCCACCCCTCCCCTGCTGCCATGGCAGCGGAACGCGAGCGCACAGGGCCCACAGTGTCTGAGGATGGACGTTGGCGCAGACAGGCAGAGACCAGCTGACTACATAGGTGGTTTTTATAGTACGTTATTTTGGCCTCCCTCTCAGCAGGTGTGAAAAAGGCCACCATTTTTGAACGGTAGCGAGGGTCCAACAAGGTGGACAGCCAAAAGTCATCCCTCTGTCTGATGGTTATTATTCGGCTGTCGGTACGCAAGCAAGCGAGCATGCTATGGGCCATTTGTGCCAAGGAATGCGAGGGACTCCCTGCCTCCATCTCCACAGCATACTGCCACGGTGCGTCTGGGTCCTCTGTCTCCTCTTCCTCCTCCTCTACCAGATGCTCCTGCTCCTCCACTCCTGTCCGCTGAGTGGAAAAACCACCCATTTCACTCAATAATTCCTGAGCACCAATGTCCTCCTCTACCTCCTCCTCTTCTTCCTGTCCTGCCCCCACAGGGGTCATGTGGCGTTGAGATCTGTGCGCCACGTCTACCGCACCCTGACCAGCCATTGTTAACAGCATTTGTTCCAGGACGTGCAAACAGAGGAATGACGTCGTTCATCCCATAGTCCTGCCGACTCACGAATAGCGTGGCCTCCTCAAAGGGCCTGAGCAAGCGCAGGTGTCACGCATGAGCTGCCAATGGCTGACATCTAAGTTACACAGGGAGTACCTTTATCCGCTTTTAACATCAGGAAATCTGTGATGGCCTTTTGCTGTTCGTAAAGGCGGTCTAACATATGTAGGGTTGAATTCCACCTTGTTGCAACGTCACAGCATGAGGAGTCGGTACGGGGGCCCATGGCAGATTACGGGCCTGGCAGCAGCAATGGGAGGCCCGTAATCTGCCAGCACCCTATGACAAAAAATGTAACACACAGCAGCAGTGTGAGGAGATCTGAAAGTGGCACATGGCAGAGTGTGGCGATGGAGACAGCAGCAATGGGAGGCCGTACAGGGACCCATGACACACTCTGGACCTGGCAGCAGCATGAAGGCGGTACAGGGGCCCATGGCAGATTAGGGGCCTGGCAGCAGCTATGGGAGGCCCGTAATCTGCCAGCACCCTATGACAAAAAATGGAACACACCAGCAGTGTGAGGAGACCTGAAAGTGGCACATGGCAGAGTGTGGCGATGGAGACAGCAGCAATGGGAGGCCGTACAGGGACCCATGAGAGACTCTGGACTTGGCAGCAGCATGAGGAGGCGGTATAGGGGCCCATGGCAGATTAGGGGCCTGGCAGCAGCTATAGGAGGCCACGTAATCTGCCAGCACCCTATGACAAAAAATGGAACACACCAGCAGTGTGAGGAGACCTGAAAGTGGCACATGGCATGAGACACTGTGGACCTGGCAGCAGCATGAGGAGGCGGTACAGGGGCCCATGGCAGATTAGGGGCCTGGAAGCAGCTATGGGAGGCCCGTAATCTGCCAGTCAAAAAATTGACACACCCCTATGTGAGGAGACCTGAAAAAAATTGAACACACCAGCAGTGTGAGGAGACCTGAAAGTGGCACATGGCGGTATGAGACCCTGTGGACCTGGCAGTAGCATGAGGAGGCGGTATAGGGGCCCATGGCAGATTAGGGGCCTGGCAGCAGCTATGGGAGGCCCGTAATCTGCCAGCACCCTATGACAAAAAATGGAACACACAGCAGCAGTGTGAGGAGACCTGAAAGTGGCACATGAAGAGTGTGGCGATGGAGACAGCAGCAATGGGAGGCTGTACAGGGACCCATGAGAGACTCTGGACTTGGCAGCAGCATGAGGAGGCGGTATAGGGGCCCATGGCAGATTAGGGGCCTGGCAGCAGCTATAGGAGGCCCGTAATCTGCCCAGCACCCTATGACAAAAAATGGAACACACCAGCAGTGTGAGGAGACCTGAAAGTGGCACATGGCATGAGACACTGTGGACCTGGCAGCAGCATGAGGAGGCGGTATAGGGGCCCATGGCAGATTAGGGGCCTGGCAGCAGCTATGGGAGGCCCGTAATCTGCCAGCACCCTATGTCAAAAAATTCAACACACCAGCAGTGTGTGAGGAGACCTGAAAGTGGCACATGGCAGAGTGTGGCGATGGAGAACCAGCAGCAATGGGAGGCCGTACAGGGACCCATGACAGACTCTGGACTTGGCAGCAGCATGAGGAGGCGGTATAGGGGCCCATGGCAGATTAGGGGCCTGGCAGCAGCTATAGGAGGCCCGTAATCTGCCAGCACCCTATGACAAAAAATGGAACACACCAGCAGTGTGAGGAGACCTGAAAGTGGCACATGGCAATGAGACACTGTGGACCTGGCAGCAGCATGAGGAGGCGGGTATAGGGGCCCATGGCAGATTAGGGGCCTGGCAGCAGCTATGGGAGGCCCGTAATCTGCCAGCACCCTATGTCAAAAAAATTAACACACAGCAGCAGTGTGAGGAGACCTGAAAGTGGCACATGGCAGAGTGTGGCGATGGAGACAGCAGCAATGGACCTACAGGGACCCATGACAGACTGAGGACCTTTTGGCAGCAGCATAGGCGGTATAGGGGCCCATGGCAGATTAGGGGCCTGGCAGCAGCTATGGGAGGCCCGTAATCTGTCAGCACCCTATGTCAAAAAATTGAACACACCAGCAGTGTGTGAGGAGACCTGAAAGTGGCACATGGCAGAGTGTGGCGATGGAGACAGCAGCAATGGGAGGCTGTACAGGGGACCATGAGAGACTCTGGACTTGGCAGTTGCAGCATGAGGAGGCGGTATAGGGGCCCATGGCAGATTAGGGGCCTGGCAGCAGCTATGGGAGGCCCGTAATCTGCAGCAGACCCTATGTCAAAAAATTGAAACACACCAGCAGTGTGAGGAGACCTGAAAGTGGCACATGGCATGAATGGGACACTGTGGACCTGGCAGCAGCATGAGGAGGCGGTACAGGGGCCCATGGCAGATTAGGGGCCTGGCAGCAGCTATGGGAGGCCCGTAATCTGCCAGCACCCTATGTCAAAAAAATGAACACACCAGCAGTGGTGTGAGGAGACCTGAAAGTGGCACATGAGCAGAGTGTGGCGATGGAGACAGCAGCAATGGGGGGCCGTACAGGGACCCATGACAGACTCTGGACTTGGCAGCAGCATGAGGCCATATGGGGAGGCGGTATAGGGGCCCCATGGCAGATTAGGGGCCTGGCAGCAGCTATAGGAGGCCCGTAATCTGCCAGCACCCTATGTCAAATAATTGAACACACCAGCAGTGTGAGGAGACCTGAAAGTGGCACATGGCATGAGACACTGTAGGACCTGGCAGCAGCATGAGGAGGCGGTACAGGGGCCCATGGCAGATTAGGGGCCTGGCAGCAGCTATAGGCAGCTAATACGCACCCTGAGAGATGCAACACCATGTTCTTTCCGTTGTCGGTCAACATGGTTCCGATTTTGAAGTTTGCGCGGAGACAGCCATCTGTCCGATTTTCTCTGTTCATTACACTGAGAAGTTCCTCCCCTGGCATTACCAGGTGAGGTGGCCAAGGCATACCAGGTGCAGCACAGCGTGACACCGTTGCGGCCCTGCACATGTGATATGCCGGGTATTTAGGGTAAAAGGGACTTTTGGCACGGGCATTCCTTACTACTGGGTGTGGCGGCTGAGGACACGAAGGAAGTAAGAGGTGGTAGAGGCGGACATCTTTTGTGGACCAAGGATGTGCAAACGTGGAGGCAAAAGCGGCGTGACCTGTCCAAGTTGCTGGTGCGGCTGTGACGGCACCACGTTCATCCACCAGTGGGCCGTTATAAATGACATGTACTGTCCCTTACCGTAGTTACAGCTCCACACGTCGGCGCTGCCGTGCACTTTGGCAGAGACCGACATGCTCAAAGACTGGCCCACCATCTCTTCTACATGTGAATGCAGGGCTGGCACTGCCTTTTTGGTGAAGAAATGCCGGCTTGGCACTCTCCACCGCGGCGCGGCACAAGCCATCATTTCTCGAAAGGTGCTGAGTCCACCACTTGGAAAGGGAGGGACTGCAGCACCAGCAAACTTGGACAGGAGGATGTTCAGCTTTTGCACCGTCGGGTGCGTGCTCGCAAACTGTTGTCTCTTGGAAAACGGATTCCAAGAAAGACTGCTGACGGAATCCGTGAAGAGGAGTAGCAGGAGAAGGAGCAGCATCTGAACGAGCGGAAGATGGCAACGAGCGACAACTCCCCTCAGCAGAGGTGTTGGAGCCTTGACTGGCTGATAGAGGGCGATTGACGTCGGGTGACGGAGCAAGTAACGGAGCGGGTGATATGGAGTGGGGGCTGGGGCGGGCAGAACCGCCGTATCTTTATCACGGTTTTCCCAGGCCACCAAATGGCGACGCTGCATATGCTGACGCAACGCTGTAGTCCCAACATGGGCCCCCTGGCCACGCTTGACTTTCTGGCCACATAGTCGACATACGGCTACGTTTACTTCCTCGGGCGGCTTGACAAAAAATTGCTCACACCGCCGAGTAGGAAACTTTGCCCCCGATACTCCTCACTGGCTGACTGCTGCTTCCTCCGTGCACACCGGCACCACTACTGGCCGTGGTGGTAGGCTGCAGTGGGAGCTGGTGCTGTACTCCGTGGCCGTTTGCCTCCACTGACACTGCTGCGACCCTGCTGCCCCTGGGCAACCCACCGACTGTTTTGCTCGCTGCCAAGCTGCCACCCTCTTCTCCTGATGATGCGGAAGCAATAGCCTGATGACGACGAGGCTGCCAAGTGCGATCAGCCTCATCATCATCAATTAGGGTCTCCGCCTCACTACTAGCCCCCTCGGCTGCATGTGGGTCAGGAGACAGACCTGTCTCTAGACCGGCTACCGAGCCACTCTCCTCGCCACTACTTCTTCGCCTGGCTGCTGAAGAGGCGGATGTCTCCCCCCGTTCCAATGACCCTGCCCTCTGTTAGCTCTTCCTCACTGTACAGTGGGGCTGAGCCCACAGCATGCGATACTTCGCTTGGTGAGGGAACACCAAAGGACAGGGGCAGGTAGAGGACATGTGATTTCAGTGGGCTTGCTCCCGGGCCATGCCAACTAACGGTTGTGTCTGACGTACCCACCGACCGTTGGCTGTAGGTGTCAGAGGTGACCTGGGAAGAGGAAGACGACCGAGCCAACCAATCGATGACGGCAGGGTTGTCGGTGGAGACACGACCGCTGGATGACACCCGGAGTACTGGCCTCTGGCTGCGAATAGTGCTGCCTCGACCCCTTCCTCTGCTGCCACGTCTGCTCGCTCCTAAAACATTGCCTCCTCTGCCACTCCTCTGCATGTTGTCTGACATATTCTTTAATTAAACGATTTCTGTGTCCCTGAGTAACAATTCTGTGTCTGTCCCTGAGTAACAATTCTGTGTCCCTGAGTAACGTTTCTGTGGCCCTAAGTAACAGTTCTGTGGCCCTCAGTAACAATTCTGTGTGTCCCTCAGTAACAATTCTGTGTCCCTCAGTAACAATTTTGTGTCTGTCCCTGAGTAACAATTCTGTGTCCTGAGTAACAATTCTGTGTCCCTCAGTAACAATTCTGTGTCCCTGAGTAACAATTCTGTGTCCCTCAGTAACAATTCTGTGTCCCTGAGTAACAATTCTGTGTCTGTCCTGAGTAACAATTCTGTGTCCCTAAGTAACGTTTCTGTGGCCGTAAGTAATGGTTCTGTGGCCCTCAGTAACAAATCTGTGTCCCTCAGTAACAATTCTGTGTCCCTCAGTAACAATTCTGTGTCTGTCCTGAGTAACAATCCTTGTCTGTCCCTGAGTAACAATTCTGTGTCCCTGAGTAACAATTCTGTGTCCCTGAGTAACAATTTTCTGTGTCCCTCAGTAACAATTCTGTGTCCCTGAGTAACAATTCTGTGTCCCTCAGTAACAATTCTGTGTTTCTGAGTAACAATTCTGTGTCTGTCCCTGAGTAACAATTCTGTGTCCCTAAGTAACGTTTCTGTGTCCCTAAGTAACGTTTCTGTGGCCCTAAGCAACGGTTCTGTGGCCCTCAGTAACAAATCTGTGTCCCTCAGTAACAATTCTGTGTCTGTCCCTGAGTAACAATTCTGTGTCCCTAAGTAACGTTTCTGTGTCCCTAAGTAACGTTTCTGTGGCCCTAAGTAACGATTCTGTGGCCCTAAGTAACGATTCTGTGGCCCTAAGTAACGTTTCTGTAGCCCTAAGTAACATTTCTGTGGCCCTAAGTAACGTTTCTGTGGCCCTAAGTAACGTTTCTGTGGCCCTAAGTAACAGTTCTGTGGCCCTCAGTAACAGTTCTGTGGCCCTCAGTAACAATTCTGTGTCCCTCAGTAACAATTCTGTGTCTGTCCCTGAGTAACAATTCTGTATCCCTAAGTAACGTTTCTGTGGCCCTAAGTAACGGTTCTGTGGCCTCAGTAACAATCTGTGTCCCTCAGTAACAATTCTGTGTCTGTCCCTAAGTAACAATTCTGTGGCCCTAAGTTAACGTTTCTGTGGCCCTAAGTAACGTTTCTGTGGCCCTCAGTAACAATTCTGTATCCCTCAGTAACAATTCTGTGTCTGTCCCTGAGTAACAATTCTGTGTCCCTAAGTAACAATTCTGTGGCCCTAAGTAAAGTTTCTGTGGCCCTAAGTAACGGTTCTGTGTCCCTCAGTAACAAATTCTGTATCCCTCAGTAACAATTCTGTGTCTGTCCCTAAGTAACAATTCTGTGGCCCTAAGTAAAGTTTCTGTGGCCCTAAGTAACGTTTCTGTGGCCCTAAGTAACGATTCTGTGGCCCTAAGTAACGTTTCTGTGGCCCTAAGTAACGTTTCTGTGGCCCTCAGTAACAAATCTGTGTCCCTCAGTAACAATTCTGTGTCTTTCCCTAAGTAACAATTCTGTGGCCCTAAGTAACGTTTCTGTGGCCCTAAGTAACGGTTCTGTGGCCCTCAGTAACAATTCTGTGTCCCTCAATAACAATTCTGTGTCTGTCCCTAAGTAACAATTCTGTGGCCCTAAGTAACGTTTCTGTGGCCCTAAGTAACGATTCTGTGGCCCTCAGTAACAATTCTGTATCCCTCAGTAACAATTCTGTGTCTGTCCCTGAGTAACAATTCTGTGTCCCTAAGTAACGTTTCTGTGGCCCTAACTAACGATTCTGTGGCCCTAAGTAACGTTTCTGTGGCCCTAAGTAACGTTTCTGTGGCCCTCAGTAACAATCTGTGTCCCTCAGTAACAATTCTGTGTCTGTCCCTAAGTAAAAATTCTGTGGCCCTAAGTAACGTTTCTGTGGCCCTAAGTAACGTTTCTGTGGCCCTAAGTAACGATTCTGTGGCCCTCAGTAACAAATCTGTGTCCCTCAATAACAATTCTGTGTCTGTCCCTAAGTAACAATTCTGTAGCCCTAAGTAACGATTCTGTGGCCCTCAGTAACAAATCTGTGTCCCTCAGTAACAATTCTGTGTCTGTCCCTAAGTAACAATTCTGTGGCCCTAAGTAACGTTTCTGTGGCCCTAAGTAACGGTTCTGTGGCCCTCAGTAACAATTCTGTGTCCCTCAATAACAATTCTGTCAGTCTGTCCCTAAGTAACAATTCTGTGGCCCTAAGTAACGTTTCTGTGGCCCTAAGTAACGATTCTGTGGCCCTCAGTAACAAATCTGTGTCCCTCAGTAACAATTCTGTGTCTGTCCCTAAGTAACAATTCTGTGGCCCTAAGTAACGATTCTGTGGCCCTCAGTAACAAATCTGTGTCCCTCAGTAACAATTCTGTCTGTTCCTAAGTAACAATTCTGTGGCCCTAAGTAACGTTTCTGTGGCCCTAAGTAACGATTCTGTGGCCCTCAGTAACAATTCTGTATCCCTCAGTAACAATTCTGTCTGTCCCTGAGTAACAATTCTGTGTCCCTAAGTAACGTTTCTGTGGCCCTAAGTAACGTTTCTGTGGCCCTAAGTAACGATTCTGTGGCCCTAAGTAACGTTTCTGTGGCCCTAAGTAACGTTTCTGTGGCCCTCAGTAACAATTCTGTGTCCCTCAATAACAATTCTGTGTCTGTCCCTAAGTAACAATTCTGTGGCCCTAAGTAACGTTTCTGTGGCCCTAAGTAAAGTTTCTGTGGCCCTAAGTAACGATTCTGTGGCCCTCAGTAACAAATCTGTGTC